CTGTCTCCTCCTCTCTTCTACATATCCAGAAAAAAAGCAGTGTGGTGTGGGTGATGTTGTCATCTCTAATCTGGTCTATAGAGAAGTTTCCTTATGTCTGCCTTATTTTACAGTGTATTTCACCTTCATGTTTTACGTTTGGGGTTGATGTGTGAGAAAGTTGTACTGGGGCGTTTCCAGTTTGCAGGTCGCGTTGGTACGTGCCAGTTTCTCTTTAAGGCTCTTGGTATTGTTCCCCACTGCTCGAGCTTCGTGTGCGGCTGAACCTCTGCTCTGCTCATCCTCTGCTGTGCTTAAGCATTGCTGTGCAGCAACTGTTGCCCTGCTTGCAGCAACGTGCTTCTGGGAGCACCTGGCGTTTTCGGGCGTTACAGCAGTCTCCCTTAATGCAATCGGTGTGCAGACATCGCAGCGCTGTGTGGAGAGAGGGAACCAAGTCCTGGCTTGTTCTGCCAGGAGATGTGTTGCGAGAGTTTTTGGACAACTCCGAGCGTTGCAGCAGAGGAAGGATGCTCTGATAAACCATGTAGGAGCAAAAAGGAGAAGGTACATAACAAGACCACCAGCAGCATTCGTAGCGCTGGAGTATTTTGGAGCTTTTGCTAAAAGGTGACATTTAAACTTCCATCTTCTGCGGACGCTATCAAACACTCCCAAGAGAGGCTGCAGATCCAAACTGCAGTGAGGAGGAGAGGTTCCCTTTAAAAACAAACACGGGTGCGCAGGAAAGGATCTCATCTTCGTGCAGGAGCCCGGAGCACCTCCGGAATAACAGATGGCTGCTGACGCCCTGGCAGACAAGCAACCCAACACTGTTGCAGTGAGGATCACCATCTTCCAGTAAGTTTAATAAACTTATTTTATTGCTGGTAACCCAGATCACTGCTCCTGTTTTGAGTGGGTAGAATTGAAACCTGTTTTGGTAGTGTAGCTCTTTTCCACGTGCACAGAGGCTCCTGTACAACCTGTTTTATGTTCACTGGTGACATTTTCCCCAATATCTGATATACAAACCCTGTCCGTTTTCATTCTTCTTAGCAAGCCTGCTCTTCTCCCCCAGTCAGCTGCATGTTGACAATGACAGCTGCTCTATCAGAGAGTGAGCTGAAGTTTGTTGCTCTGAAATATCAGAATTTTTCCCTCCCCTTCTGGTTAATATTTGCTCCAGACGCCTTTCCCTCACCTCCCACTTGCTCTGTTGGTGCCACAGCATTTAAGAATGGAAATGCATTATAATGCAGATGTGTTTCTTGAAACAGAAGAGACAAAGAGGAGACTATGTAAAGCTGGAACAGTGCCCTGAGCTTGCAGCTCTGCGAGCTGTCTGGGACATGCTTCCCAAAGTTAGGCTCCCTAACTGAGCTACTAACCTGCTTC